ACAACCCACATGTCAATCAAATGATGTCATAATGATGTCATATGGGTTATCCCACTTGCACCGGGGAACCCGTGTACAAAGTGGTCTGCAAGCCCTGAGCAGCTGATCCAGCAGGCTTTCATTCTGTCACCCAACAGCTGATGCACAGGAGAACTGATGCCTGTTTTCCCGTGGCATTGTACAATTAGGGTTTCCAACCTGCCTGGAGCCAAGAGGAACAAGCCATGAGCCTTGGCTTAGTATTATGTGCAAACCAGTGCCACACAGAAAAAGTGGGCTCTGTGCCTACTTGACACACAAGGCTTGCCACCATGTTAGACTGGGCCAACGGTTGATCTAGCCCCTACTGTCTGTCTGACACATGGGTCAATGAATGGAGAAACTGGACAAGATGAAGCTGCCACTCCTTGTTTCCTGGCCGCATAAGCTACCTCTTGGGGGTAGAGTGCCTCTGAACCAGCAAAGTGTACAGAACTGTTGGTGTTTGTGACTGAGGAATCTCTCCCCGCTGCTCTACCCTAACCCACCGCCAAATTGTGCTTGAACCTCTCCCCCCAAATTGCCAAATCTGCACTGCTGCCAGATGATGTTCTCTCTCAATTCTCCTAATCAAGGAAGCAAACTGGTATGTTCTCTATATGGGGAGCAGTTTAGGGGGTCACCACACTTGTAGGTGAAGGAAGAAGGTACTGGGAAAGAGGGGATAGGAGAGGACTCAGGCCCCCATTCTGGCCCATCCTTGGCAAATTCTGCGTGCCTGTGGAATGGTAGGAATGGAAGGCCAGTGTGCCAAACTGGAGGTGGGCTTCCAGGGACCAGACAACTTCCCTGAATTTTCAGCTTTCATTTTTAAATTAAAAAGCACCTATCCCACTTCAATTATATAAACTTAAAGGAAAATGGGCAGGCTGTTTCTGAGCCAGTTTCTTTCCCTGCCATCCAGAGCTTTGGCCATTGAGTGCAAAAACATACAAACAAAAAAGCTAAGGAAATTAAATTAGACTTCATGATTTTAACAACTTTAAATTTAACCTATTTAGCTACTTGTAGAAGTCCTTCCTTGCTTTGCAGTGATTTGCGGTCTCTCCCTCCGGCATGCACCCCAAGTCTAACTCCCTCCCCAGCAAATTCTGTGATGCCAGGCAAGGCCCTAAAAATGTGCCCCTTTCATAAGGGACAGGTTGCCATTCATAACAAAGCAGGACTGCTGGCATGCACGCTCCACAGCAGGATGCAACCCACGTGTGCTCTAGCAAAATGGACAGAACCTCTCCTTGGCTTGCAATGAAAGTGAAAAGCTCATGAGCCCAAATGCTGGGCGTTTTCAGTCATTACCTTCAAGGCTATCCAAGTAAGCTTGGGAGGGGGAGAAACAGAAAATACAAGATTAACGTTCAACGGCCTGCCATGTCAGTCATCATCAGCACAGAGTGAGGGGCTCTGCCTCCTTAGGAGACCTGGGTGCCTCCAGAAGAGATTCTCTCAAAGCAAATGGGTGCTGCTGGAGGCCAACAGCCACATTCAGGTTCAACCACAACAGGGAGGGAGGAGGGTGTGAAGTTGCTGCTGCTGCAGCAATTCCCTGGGGAGTCCTGCTGTGGGGTGAATGTAAGATGGCTGGGAAAGGGCTCTTTGCTTGGGAGCCTGCAGAGTTGAGCTTTACCAATTTCCTCAGAAAAAGCTCTGCCATTGGTGGTTGAGAACTCAGCCTAAATATGTGGGCCACTGCCAAGCCTCTGAAGGAAGCCATTCCTCAGCTTTTGTTTTTAGAGATTCTCTCTCTCTCCTGCCTTGAAAGTTAAACACCACAGCAATACCCCAACTTTATTGGCTATTGGGGACTGCTGCAGCAACATAACATGGAAATAAACCAGCTCTCACCCTCTCTCTGTGGTGAATCTCAAGCAAAACCAGTGGTTGACAATGGCTAGAGTGCTGTGCACACTGAGTAGATATCTTTAGAGTCCTCCTCATAACCTCTGCTGCTCTACATTATGACACCACAGCATGAAGCATGGCAGTTTGGAAACAAAAGTAGGTTGCTGGCGGCTACAGTAAATAGAGCTACATACTTGATGTATGCAACACCTAAAAAAACTACCAGAATCTCAGGGCTTCAAGGCAAAAAAGGGCCATCAACGTGTGTTAGAAACTGTTCCTGGGCTGTTCAGATGGCAAGGTGGGGTGAAGATTGCTGAACTGAATGGGGTTGGGGACTCGCATGTCAGACAGATGGCTGGGATAGAATATTTCCCCCTGATAGCAGATTTCCTAAAGTCCTTCTTATACATTCCTTTCCACATAAAGAGGGCCCTGTCCTCCCTCACAACCTATCTGGCCCATTAGCTCCCATACCTTGCCACCAACCTTGAATCTGTACATTTACTCAAATACAGAAAAAATGCAAGTTAAGCTTCCATGCACATATTTACAGAAGTTTGACTCAACACATTGATCTGGGGGAATACTCTGAGGCTTCAGGTGGAGAGGAAAGGATGAACAGGACTGAGGTCTAACAAGCTTTTTTTAAAGGTGTCATGCTATTGATTCCCACCCCAACCTGTCGTCTGAAATGGTGTTGAAACTGTTTGACCACGCAATGAGCTGTTGGATCAGAGGGCCTCTCTCTTTGGGATGCTTAATTTTTTCACAAGAGGTGTGAGGCAAAGGAAGCAGGAGTAACCCAGGCTCCTTCACCTGTGGAGGCTGAAAATTGGGCACACTCTGTCTTTGAAACTTCTGAAGTAGCTCTCTGCTGAGTTATAAGAAACAAAGCAGTCCAGGGTGGCTTCTCACACTTGCCTGGTGGTACCAATATAAAGCCATCTGCAGCTCACCTGTTTGTATTTCCGGTAACAACGCTGAATGACAGCAGCGGCCACTTCCTGTTGCTCCCGGAGGGGGCGTCCCTGCAAGGGAAGGGGACAAATGGTAGAGGTAATGGGACTGCAAGCAGGACCTGAGTGCCACAGCATATAAGTGCAACTGTGTCAAGGCTGTAGATTATTCTCTGAATACCTCAGAGAAGCACCCTGTGAGAACTGGAACTCAAAGCATGGAAAGAAGTGTGGCAAAGAACATCAGGCTGCCCAATGCAGAAGCCTCTGGAGCACCACCTGACACAACCATGAAGTGCATTTTCCTGCTCCTGTCAGTGACAGCTCATGTTTTGTAGTGGGGAAGCAAACACTACAGGAGAACATAGAGCAAACTGAACAATGTATTTGCAGCATCAGCAGGGGAGGAGGGCACCTCCCTTGAACCTTCCTGGGCCATTTTTGTTGCTGCCCCCTTTAACACATGCAGGGGCAGATTGGACAATCATGTGCCAAACACCAGCCCCACTTCACTTGCTACTGTGCTCTAAAGTAACTTATTTCTGTCAGCTGGCATCGGAGTGCCACTGATTCCAAAGGGAGGTTTGGAGGCTTCCATGCACCCCGATGCCATCTCCCTGCACCCACCCCTACCAACAGCAACTTCTGCCCTTCACCTTGTATTTCCTGAAGACCGTCTGGACCAGCTTGGCAGCCTCGTAGAGCTCTCTCTGCTCGTGATCGGAGAGGGTCAGCTGCGCAAACTCGTTTTCGACTTTCTCGCTGGTGGAGGCGCTTAGGAATTCTGTCCAGTCTGTTGCCGAAGGGAGGCTGGGCTTCTCAAAAGCCATTTCATTGACTGGTGAGCTTGCAGGGCTCAGGCTGGTGTTGGAAGAAGGGGTCAGGGGTCCAATGTACAGGCTTCTGCAAAAAGAGGCACAGGGGGAAGAGGGTCATAGCTGCACAAACACCAAGACATGCTGGCTGGCTGGAGAAAAAGAACAAATCCTGGATTTGGTTCAGATTAAGGTTGGGGAGAGACAAGTGAGTTGGTCACATCTGAGCCATACAGTGAAAGCACATAGATTCCCCAAAGAATCATTGAGCTGTAGTTTACCTCCTTACATAGCTATGATTCCCAGCACCGTAAAACTACACTTCACTCTCTCTGAGGCAGGGGCTAAGTCTTGGTGACCCAGAATGTGCCAACCCTTGTTGAAACAGCATGAAAACATGCTGCAAGCTTACTATTTAGCATTCCAGGGATCTTTATTTCACAGTACTTGAGGGTTAAGGGTTGAAACTTTGTCGTAATTAGTTAACTTGCTCCACACCCAGCGAACCTGAATGGTACCTGTTTCAGGGATGTTCTGAACCTTTACTGGCTTGACTCAGAAAAAGAAAGTGGATTCATTTTAGCTGTTGTAACCCAAAATTCAAAAATGAATTAAAGCATCTAACAGCTGGGCACTGGGTAGAAGATCCCCCCCCCATATGGCAGTACCAGCAGCAACAAGGAGCCCCCCCCTTTGCCTGGTGGGTTTTCAATTTTGCAAGGTGAAGGCCAGAAAAGTCAATATGGGCCAGCGGGCATCATAAGCTCGACCAGTCCTGGTAATACAAGGCCACAGACCTTATTTGAGCAGCACTTGGTAAATGGTCGACATCCGCGAGGTAACTGGCCAGCCAGCTCATTGAAGTGCTAATGGTGGCGCTCTCCGTCCTCTCGGCTCGTGGCGCCTCCATCGGCACAAAGTTTTCCCGCTTGATCCTCTCTGGGGTCGCTTCGATGATGTGCTCTGCCAGAGTCATCATGGTCACCTGTGAAGTGAGAAGGAAAGCTTTTCAGGGGCATGTGGGTGGAGACAAGGCGAGAACAGCACTTCCCACCGCCTCCCTTCCTGTTGGGTCCCAGAACCTGCTCCTGTCAGACTGAGGAGGTATGCTGTACATAAAATGCTTGTGCTTGGGTTTAGAAGGTAAAAAGTATTCTGCAATTGGCAAAGGTCGAGGCCTTGTCCCATTACACGACTTTGCAAGCCTGTTTAGCAGTAGCTGGTGATGACAAGAGAATCTTATTATGCTTGGTTCAGGTAAATTCATTCTGATTGGTCTGTGTGGCTGACAGCAGACTCTGATTGGCTGGAGATTCTCGTCAGTTGGGAGTTAAATGTCAGTTGGGCCCCATTTGCCCTCTACATTCAAACCATTTTAAACTGTCATGGCTTCACTCAAAGCATTGTGGGAACTGCAGCTTGCGAAGGCTGCAGAGAGTTGTCAGAAGACCTATTCCCTTCACAGGGCTGTAATTCCCAGAATGGTTTAAGAGTCAATCCCTCTTCCCACGAAAACTCTGGGAATTGAAGCTCTCTGAAAGAGAGGGAAAGGGGTGTCCTAATAACTTTCTGCACTTTTATCAAACTTAACAGTTCTCAGGGTTCTTTGGGGGAAGTAGCCATGACTGTTTAAAGTCACATCTTGTTGCTTTAAATGTATCATGCAGGTTGGGTCTTAAGAAAGAGTCTGTTGAATTTTGACAGTTGAGGGAAAAGGGGAGTCGATAAAAGGTGTGTGAGGAAAAGACAAGAGAAAGAAAGCTGAAAGAGAAATACTATTGCCCAGTGTGTTATTAATACTCATTTGATGACAATGAAGGGAAGGGAGTTAGCTTGAGAGGCTGCCCTGTGTCAAGGTCTTCCCACAAGCGGGTTTTTGAAGTTGGCCAAACAGTCCAAACAGCCAGGAGTACAGTTTGCCCCCAGGAGCTGGGGTGGGTGGTGGGCAAACTTGTCTATGGTGGATGTTTAGGGAATTTGGGTTGAGGTGAAAGAGGCTGGGGTCAGCAACAGCAGCACTTCGTGACCCTTCAGAAAGTGTTAACAAGCACCTTTAAGACCCCTTTGCAAATATCCATATTTCCCTCATGCACACAGCATTCCCCTTAAGAAGCCAGCCATCTTAGGAGTTCATCCTGTCTCTAGTGTAAATGTCAACCTCACCTCTAAGCTGGCTATATCAGCTACTAGGAGGTTTTGAAAGCTGTTCTGAGCGTGTTGGTAGCAGTGGGAAATGAAAGCAGCACAGCTACCTAAACCTTTGTTTATTATACCAGAAGGCTGAGGGAAATGGGTTCCCTGATAGGGCTTGTAGTCAGCCTTTTTTGCTCTACTGAGGGCTGCATGCAGTGGACAGACCCCTTGCCCTCCTTTACACTCACATACATGCTAATAGACATCCATTCTTTCCTCCCATTCTTATTTATTTCAGATGTTTATATTCCAGGCCAGATTCAAGGTTCTTCTGCTGATATACAACACCCTGAGCAGCTTGAGCCCAGGGTACCTCAAGGACTGTCTGAACCTTCATATACCCCAGCCTGATCACTGAGATTATCCAGGTGAGCCCTGCTAGTTGCTCCCCCATGTTACAGAAGCCCAATGGGCCTCAACCAAAAATTGGGTGTTTAAGTGCAGCAGGTTCCATGCTGTGGAACACTCTTCCAGCAGAGATTTGGCAATGACATTCTCATTTCCAGCTTTTTCATGTTTTTTTTAAAAATGTTTAAACTACCTCTTGCATAGCTAGTCATTTTAATGATTGTTTTGTTTGCAGTTCTTTTGATATTGGACGGTTCACTCCCCTGGTGTGTGTTTTATGAAGGCTCACCTGCAGGTCATCCATGTGATGCAAGCAGTCCTCACTTTCAGTGCCGTCCCGGAAGGAGAGGAGCTCTGCGTCAGCCACCTCCCGCTCCGCCATCATCAGCACGCTCATCTGCTCCCGCGGATGGAGCCGCTGGGCCCCTGAGTCCTTCCCCAGCACCAGCCCCTTGGGGCTGCCTGCCACCTGCATCGCAGGCACGCCAATATACGCCTCCTTTGGGCTCCACTTGGCCCCTGCCTGTGTGCCGGAGCCGTGGTAGCCAGCCACTTCGGAGACAAGCTCCCGCGCATAGTCCCGCACCCCATGCCTGGGGCTGATTGTCTCTGGGAGGGATTGCTTAGCACTGGAGCTTGGCTTCCGGGGACTCGGCTGCTCCAGGCTTAGGGCGGTGGAAAGAAGCTTCTCCTGCCGAGCAGAGAAGTAGTCGGGGTTCAGTTTGTGTTTTTTGGGCGCGGGATACTCCTTCTGGCTCTCGCTGCTGTAGTAACTGGAGGGCTCGGACCGGGGCCGCCTCAGCTCTGGAACCAAACAGAAGACAAGTGAGGATTCAGCCATGCGAGTGTGCATGTGCATGCGCTGCTGCCATGAAATGTGCCCTGCGTTCACTCTGCCAAAGGGACCATGAGGCTTGAGAGGCCTGGCAAGCAAGTGCCCAAGGTGGGGAACAGCAGAGCACCTCTGCATAAGCTCTGTATGGAGACGCACGCAGGCCCCCTCCTTATGACAGAGGGGGCAGGCACCTTAGTTTCCCCACATATGTGAATAGCATCCCTGTGTAAAAGGGCACATTTGGTGGACACTGTTGAGAGGGAGCAAAACTGGTCTCTAAACTGGCCTCACCCTGAGTCTGTTTCTAGATCATAACAGGAAGGCAAGGGTCTAGTTGTGATAAACCAACAGGACTCAATCACCTGCACTGGATGAACAGAACTCGTTAAGCTGGGGCACATAGGGGGCCTTGTGCCTGTGTTCTGCTGTTGCACTGCCCCTTCCCTCCTCAGTACCAGATGTCAGGTGTAAAGTAACCATAGCTTCCCATTCCATATAAACCAGGAAACCATGGTTGCCAGGGCTGGCACAAACCAGGTTCTGAAACCACAATAGAAGTTTGTCTCAAAACCTGGTGTGCCCCCACCCTAGTAACCAGCATTTCCTGGTTTGGATAGAAAAGGAAACAATGGTTAACCCAGGAAGTCTTCATGGTGTGCAGCAAGAGCAGAAGAAAGAAGTGGATGGAGCCAGCAGGTAGAAGGTTTGTGCGTAGCTCAGCTTATTGAGACAGGATACTGACATCCAAAGTTAGCCACTGTGTGATCGTCCTAAGTTTCTGGGAAACAAATGAAGGAGGAGGAGAATGGGCCAAACCTTTTCTCCAAGGAATGTGATGGAGGCCTTTCAAACAAAAACAACAACAACATCCTACCTGTATTGGAATTGGAAATCACGGTGACTCCCTTCTGGGGCTCCTGAGAGGCCACCATCTCACTGTGCCACTGGGCGATCCAGTTCTCACTGCTGGGTTCCTCATGCGAAGGACAGGGGATCCGGGGGGTTTGCCTGAGTTGGGCTTGCTCCTCCCTCTGCAGGTGCTCGAGGCACTCGGCCAGCTTCACGTGACCCCGAGAACGAGCAATAGCCAAGGGGAGCCTCCCGAGGGAGTCGGGGATGGAGATAGCGCGGCGGTCCCACTTGTAAAGGACCACAGCTGCATCCATGTGGCCCAGCGCACATGCCCACATCTGGAAGTAAAAAGAAGTTGGGTGGGCAAGGAAGAAAAGGGGAGGGGACTGTGGCAGAGTACAGGACCCACTCAAATAACTATCTGTTTGTAGGCTTGTCAAGTCTTGGTGTGTGCACCCCAGGATATGACAGCTCCATTATTTCACATTCAAGTCTCTTGGAGTTGGACACAGCTAGCAAGCCTACTCCATCACATATGCTCAGGGAAAGGGAGTGGCAGGTTAAGGATGCAAAACTTGTGCAATGATCCCAATGGGAAACTCATGCCACCCTCTCCCTGGTTACCACAAGCTGCGAAGAAAAGAGACTTTGAGCACCTCGTGCGCAGGGTGTGGCTACTTACCAGCGGCGTGCAGGAGAAATGATCCACGTTCAAGGGGTCCACTTCCAGCTCTAGATCGATGCTGTCAGCATGCTTGGTACTGGGGGCCCAAGAAGGAGAGTAGTCATTTGGAGCTGCTTACTCAGGGGAGGGGGGGAATCTTTGCCCCAAAGAAAATGTGGATGGCAGCTCGACTGTGGGTTTTTTTTAAAGTTACTTGCAAAAAAAAATTGTGCTTTTGAGTTACATATTGAAGAGGGGGAAATTACAAACTAAACATCCTCCCTAGCACCCCCCCTTTTACCCCACCGAAAGGCATAGTTTAGATCTAAATAATAACAGTAAAGTTTGTATAAGCACTGGAGTGGAGAGAGTCCGAAGGTTGCTGATGTCAATATAAATAAAAGTTTGTTTTTTGTGTTTTTTTACAGAAAGTGCCATTTCCCAAATTACACTATACTATTTTAATACATTTAAACACTTCGTTTCGTTCCAATTTCTGGCTAGCAATGTTCTTGCTGCCATTTACTAAGCCTTAGTTCGTCTCTGCTGAATACACCTAACAATGCTATTTATAGTGGTTTCTTTCTTCTTCTTTACAGGTTTTCCCAGTATTTTTGTTACTTCTACAAATATTTCATCCCAGAATTGGGCAACTTTGGCACTTTACCATCACATGTGTGTGAAGGAACCATGAACTGGACGTCCCCTGCAGCAAGGAGCTGAGTAGGATTTTAGTGCTTTTTTTTAAAGGCATTAAATGCCATTTTTGTATTATTTTCAAAGAATTTTATTTTAGTCTTGCTGAATTTGTTTTACAAGGATTTTTTCTCCCATAGCTGCCCAATCTTCATCCAAAATAGTTCAATTCTGGACAGATTCCTGCACTCCAGACACACTGTGACGGTCAATCAAGCTTCCCCAAGTGGCAAAGGCCACACACCCAGAGTGCTCAGGGATTTAAGTGCTCAGGGACCCAAAAAGAGATTGCACCCATGTACTGTGAAGATACAGCTACCACAGCAATGGGAGGAATCATTTGCACAGGGGGTAGTCAACTAGTCACTTGAGAGCTTCAACAGCCCTTAAGGGGTTCCTGCCAAGTCCCCAGGACAGCCCTGAACCCCAGGAGATGCCTCCTCCTATGTAAGCAGCATAGCCAAGTGCCCATCCCCAGAACCTGCCCCTGCACCCACCCCCGGGTTCTTACCGCCATTTAAGGAGAGTCTGGATGAGGGTCGCATAGCCCTGGGCTGCTGCCAGGTGCAGGAGGGTCATCCCTCGGAAGGTCTTGGAGTGGATGAGGTGCTTGGATTTGGCCCAGCAGGCCCTGCTCATCATCTTCTCACACACAACCACCACACGGCTCTCAAAGCAGTTCCCCAAGGTGGCTGCCCCCGAGACGCACTGCAAGGGAGAGATGCGCTGGGCTCAGGGGCTAGCTCTCAGTAGAGCAAGCCAAGCAGTGTGGGCAGAGAGGGAGCAGTGTCTAAGGCTTCTTAATGGATTTTGCCATGAACAAATGACAGCTTGAAGGGGAGAAGAGTCTGTCCTCAAACAGCTGGGGCTTGTTGGCTCTGTGCTATGAATGGGTCATGTCCCTCAAGCATGGGAAAACACAAGGAAGTGCAAGTCTGAGCTTGTGAGAAAGGACCAGGCTGCCAGCTAGGACACTCCCTGTGCTTTTCTTCAGGACCATTGCAGCTTTCCCCAAGAATACAGCTGCGAAGGGCCCAGGGAGCTAATGCGGAAGATACTCTGGTTGTTGCTGGGTTTTTGTTGTTGGTGGTGTTTTTAAACTGCCTATGCATTATTTTCCCTCTTCAGAATGAGCAACCAATTACACGAACTACAATATTAGTGGCTCTCATTTCTGAGCATTTTAGCTTCTTTAATTTCCACATAGTAGCACATATCTCTCCTTACTTGTTGTCTTCAAGGGGCAATTTTTGTACCCAAAATGGACTGTGCATCTTCATTATCAACACTGAACATAGAAGATAAATAGCAAGCTGCCTTTTGCTGAGTCTGACTATCTAGCTCAGTACTGTCTACACTGACTGGCAGCAACTCTCCAGGGTTTCAAGCAGGAGACATTTCCAGCCCCACCTTGGAGATACCATGGGAGATTGAGCCTGGAACCTTCAGCATGCAAAGGAGGGGCTCTACCACTAACCTACAGTGGGTGGTCCAGCATCATGGAGCACAAAGCCTCTACCTTAAATGTTCCCCTCCTCCCAGATGGTACTGGTGGTTTTTTGTTTTGCACCATTAGCAGCCACTTCAAAGTCAAGAGGGAGGAGGAAGCCTCCCTAGAGTGGCACAAAAGTCTGAAGAGACTGCAAAAGTCTCTTGAATGTAAAGTACTCCTGTGGGGCACCCAGGAACACAGCCAGGGGGCTCAGCATGTACCTGTGCTTGGCTACCTCCATTGCCGCTGCCGTTGCCCCCACCACCACCTACGCCTTGCTTGTGCTGCTGCTGCTGGGACCCAGTCATTTCGGCCATCCTCCGCTCCATCTGCTCAAGTCGCTCCAGGATAGACATCCTGAACTGGTTCTCTGCGGCAACACAGGAGAGAAACAAAGAGAAAGAGTGTGAATCAGAGGGCTACTCCCATTCCTGACATGGGGAGCAAAAGCAAAAGGCAAATCACTGACAAAAAGGTCCCAAGTCTTGAGAAGTTTGTGTGTGGAGGAATCTGGGGGAATCAATGTGCTAGCAATTCTTCTTCTGCATCACACTGTCCTGCTTCTGAGTGCTTTCTTGGGTTTTCTCAACCACCCAAAACAGAATCAGCTTCTGTATTTAAACATTCTCAAAAAGAAAGCAATGCATGCCCAGGGTCTTTGGCCCTGTTGGCACCTTCCAATGGATAGACCAAACAACAGCTAGCAGGCATGTAGGCTAAATGGGCCCTCCAGGTTGCAGGCGTTTATCTTTGGATACCAAGGCACTGAGGACGGCCAGCTTGCATCCTTCCAAACACCCCAGTGAAACAGTGAGGAACCTCAGGCCTGGGGGACTTATGCAGCCCTCTTGGTGTATCTGGCACCAAGAGGGCCACATAAGTCTCTGCACAAGCCACATCCACCACTGACCCTACTCTGCACTCTCAGGATGCTTCTGCCCTTGAAATGTCACAATGCATCTTGCTTGCCCAGATTTCATGTAGAAACCGTTCGGCCAACCATGTTACTTTTGACCCTGCTTCTCTCTCAAGTGGGTGAATAGTGAAGCAATTATATATAGGGTACCAATGCCCTCGGAAGACTGACACTCAAATGCAGAATGCAGCTGCTGGATTGGTGGGTAGAGCAGCCCCAAGGGGCCAAGCATCACCAGTCCTGAAAGCGCTGCCCTAAACAGCCAGGACCCAAGTAACTCCCCCCTTCAAATATCAACCATCCCAAGCCCTACAATTGGTGCTGCCACTTCTGGTAGTTGTTCAACTGGCACTGACTAGCGACAGGGCCCCTTTGGTGGTGGTTCCCCATCTGTGGTCCTCCCTGGTGAGATGCCTCTGTCTCTCTCAAAACTAACATTTAGGAGGAGTTTAAACACATTTCTATTTGATAACTGAGAAATTCTGATTCCAGCAAGCTTGACATTATTAGCTGTTGTTTTCAGATGTCCTTAATTGCTTTAAATGTTTTATTTTTAACTACACTGTCTTCCTGCTTTGTTGTCTGCCTCCCTGGGATCTTGGTGGTGCTGGGGGACAGAAATTTGACAAGCAAATAAATATAACCTAGTTGGCCATTCCCCTACCCCAGATTTTTCCAGGCATCACCCACATGTTTGAGGGCCTAATATCTGCAGCCTGGAGGAAAAGGACTTTGCTGTACAGCATAATTATAGAATGATAGAGCTGCAGGACATCTAGCCCAACCTCGTGCAAGGCAGAGATCTGCAACTACAGCACCCACGACAGCACCCTAACAGGATAGATAGAGCCCATCACCCCAGAGGCTGCCTTGCTTCCACAGTGGAAGACCTTGTACCATGAGGGGCATTCCTCCTTCCCATTTGCACCCTTGGCCTCTGGGCCTGCCCTCTGGAGCAAGGGAGAGAATCCATGTGCTCCACCTTAGGTTGTGGTCATCAAGTGATGACCCTGCCTGGAGGAAAACCAGCTCTCCCATGAATCCAGCTGGGGACTGAGATCCCTGACACTGTCAGATTTCGACGGGGGGGGGCACTCCCTCTCTTGGGATTTCGCTCCACTTCCAGGGTGGCAAACCAAGGCAGGCGCTTCCACAGGCCTCCTCTTCCGGCTGAGTAGCCTATTTTTGGGGAGCACAAATAGTGCTGAGTAGCCTATTTTTGGGGAGCAAAAATCACCCACCCGCCAGCTAGCTGTATACTAATCACACTATTGTCCAAAAAGCGGCCCCGAGGGTCAACCAGTTCAAGGAGGCCTGGCACTTCCTTGGGGCGGGGGACGGGGCAGGCTTCACCACTTTCTTGTTCCAATCGCTTTCTCTCCCCGTCCCCCGCATTTCAAAATAAGTTTTCTTACGTTTCGGAAGCCCCGAGGGAGAGGTTGCCGCCGCCGCTGCTGGCGGTGGGCGATCGGGAGCCTCCTCCCGAAGTAGGGGATAGCGAGGAACTTCCGTGGGGGGCGGGGGAGAAGAGGACGCGTTCCTTCCCCACGTGCGGCTGGGAACTTTCCCCGCTCCTCGTCCGCGCCTGGCGCTCCCCTGGAGTCCGCTCCCACCTTCCGCGCGGGCCCCGCGGTGGCGCAAAAAAAGTGGGCAGGGCGGGAGCTAGGCGCACTTACCTGCCAGCCAGCTCGCCCGCCCGCGGGTCCCTTCGGACGCAGCCCGAGCGAGCGAGCGGCCGGCCAGCCCGCCGGGCTCTTTGGGCAGCCCTCCTTTTCCTTCCCCGCCTCTGCGCGGCCAATCCGCAGCGCGGAAAGTGACATCAGCCCCCGCTGCCGCCGGGGAGCGCCCGCTCGCCACACGCGCGCCGGAGCCAATGAGGAGCCGTCGGGGCAGCGCAACAGGTGCCCGGCCCGGGACGCCCCGCGCCGCCGCCCACCTCGCCCGCGGAGCCCAGCCCAGCCCTGCCTTGCCTGCGCCGTCCGTCGCGGCCCCGCCATGCCCGGCCGGAGCGCAGGAGAAGGAGGAGAAGGAGGATGCGCTCGCCCCGGAGAGCGAGCGACCTGGCCAGTCCCGCTCGCTCTTGCCGCCGCTCTGCGCCCGCAATGCAGCCGCCGGGGAGGGGGCGCTCCGCATTATGACAAAGCGCGGCTGGAGCCGCCTCCGCGCGGCAACGCCGCCCCCCTCCCGCCGGGCTGAGCCGCCCGCTTCGCCCCTTCGCCGGCCCTGGCTGGCTGTCGGCCGTCGCCCTCCAAGCTGCAAGGCGCTATGCCTTGCGCCGTCCCCCTTTCTTCTCCTCCGCGGGCTGAAAAGTGCCCCCTTCCCACGGCTTGCCTTCGGGTTGCTCCTGCCGTCCCTGGATTCGGCCTCCCTGCTTCCCCCACTCCCCCCCATCCCTGCGGGTGGGCTTTGGCGGGAGTCTCCTCCAACTCTTGTGCTGGGGCATCCGTGAAGTCTGCGGCAAGGACGCATGGCTAAACTGGGGTGGGATCGACGTTGGGACGGCCTTCCCTTGGGCAGGTCCCCTTCAGCGTCCGGAGCAGAGCCGGCAAGGCAATCCTCCCCCTTTTCCTAGATCAGATATACTTTCCTCTCTTCCCACCCCCAAATCACACGAGAGCCATTATTCCCTGCCTCCCCCTCCTGCATGCCGGTGCCCAGCTCAGCCAAGCCAAGCCTGAGAAATGGCTTTGGGCATTCCTGCATTTCAGGGTGTGACACGCTCCCCATTTTGAAGGCTGCCTCAGGAGACGATGGGCTCTCCTTGGCTGGAGGTGGAACGGTCACCAGCTGCTAAGGAGGCTGCTATTGCAGATCCTGCACTGAGCCAGGCATCACGTGTCTCCAAGGTCCCGCCCAAGTCTATAATACAACTTGTCTACATCATTCTTAAGAGTGTGGCACTCATACCTGGACATAGTCCTCCAGACCAGGTTGGACTACTGCCGAATAAATTAGAACTATTACTTCCCAGGACTTGGAAACTATGATCCTATTCATGTTGCCTAAAATTATTTGCCCTTTTTTTTGCAGCCATATCACAGTGCTGGCTCATGTTCAGGTTGTAGCTGATTACAATTCTGAGATCATT